TTTGGTCTTCGTACCTATAATTTCGCTAATTGAATTATGGTGACCCCGGCTTAACATTATGACTTATTGGCTAACTCGAGCTAGTCAATAAGATCACTACTGCTTGAAGTCCTATTTAGTGTAATTCAGCTTCACTACAATATATACTGCATTGTTTGGTATACTATGTAAATTCGTTTGAAGAAATATTTGTTGGAAGTTCAGATTATTGTAATACATTGTCGCAATTACTTGCCAATACTTATTTATCATTCTATTTTTTCTGTCTTATCGCATAGGATCATATGTGGTTTAATATGTTCTTTTATATTCAAGATCCTATCCCTTTTCGCATCGACGCCCGCTGCGAGCTTAGGGAAGAGATGGTTCGTGCAATGCGCCTCCATTTTTATCATCCGGTTTCTGGTGCCTGCCTCTGGTCTTCAGAGCAATCGGACAATGAAGAGCTTCCCTGTTTCTTCGGCATTGAGGCGGGGACCTTTGAATTAGTCAGATTCTCCTTACCTGCTGAGGTTCCGAATAAAGTGAGCATAATTCCGGGCATATAAATACGTTGCACGATGATCTACCTTGCACCGTCTTCTGCTCTTTAAAAGTAAAATGTAATTGAAGCATTAAATAATTATATGGATGAGAGAATAAAGGTCTAAATAGGTGAGCACAAAATTTGGCTGCTAAACAAAGGAAATACTATCGGTTAAGTAATATGCAATGCAGGCATCCTTCACCACTTAAGCTCAAATTTAGGCATTCAGACAGTATCTGTTTTCTCCCTGATAATTTTTTTAATTTTCTTTGCATCAAATTCACCCTTTCTTATTAAATTTTACTTTACGATGTCCAATTTATCGGGAATATGTCATATTCAAAAGATAAAAGTTGGCCTGTTTAGAAGTATGAGTTATGAACTGTTAAATTAAAGATCAGCATTGTTCTGAAATATAGGTCCTGATCATCTGCTCTCTTCTCTTATAGGAAATTAGTTCATCTTAGTTTGGCATGAAGGTGGAAGCACAAGCATAAGGGGTAACATTTTTCATTTTGGAGCTTCTCAAACTTTGCTTAGTAATATCAGTTGTTGGGTTTACTTCTATTTCGCGTAAAAAGTTTGGTGAAGAGATTCGAAAGTCGATCCCACCGGATGTCGACGACGGATTCCTCTTGAATAGCTATCGATTGGCTTTATTGGAATATTTATGCTAACGCTGTTTCCGAGCTAATCTCCTTCGATTCCGGTGAAAAGGTGCTAAGCTTTCGTCCGTCATATGACGAACATCATCAGAGCAAGGTGTCATCGTCCCAACCAAATTCGAGCTTACGATTTAAGAAAACTCACCGACAAATCCCTAAAAAGCGGTGTATATACTCTATATCTGGCCTCTTTGACCAGGTATTAAGTGATTTGATTAGTTGCCGTCATATGTCAATCTCGAAGCCTGTGAGTGTGTCTGTCTCTGTATGTGTATGTGCCTGTTTGTTTTCGCTTATGCACGAAAACAGCAGTGATGGTTCAAAATAATTAGGACAGCAAAAGAAACGTCTGATCTCGGTCATAAAAGATTGATGACCACCATCCCCCTTTTCACATATATGTTATAACAATCACCCCGATTGCTCAAGGTCTGACACACGTCTAGTTATGTTGATAGGCCATTTTTTGTCTTAAGATGAGAGAGAAAGAGTGGGCTATAATTACAGAGAAACGACTCTGATTAGAACCAAGACAAAAAAGACTAGTTGAGTTGCTTCCTTTTTGCAGGTGACTCGACTCCCTCTGTATCCTTCAGTCTATTAATTAAGCACAAGTAATTCTAACATATCTTCTTGCCGGTATTCCTTACATTCAATGTATTTCCTATTCGGTTTATTTCGATGGCTTCTCTAATTTTACTTTTAGCCTCAGACATGCCATAATCAACAAAACGAGAATTTGAGACTATTCAATCTCGTGTGTGTTTCTGCCCTGTGCTCAGCCAGCTCAGATTTTTGAGCGCAACAGCCTTTATAGGCGGTTTTGTGCTCAGCCACACTTTGTCGAATGAAACGACAAGTTCATACAACATAAAAGCGGCTATATGAACACATTATTTTGTAGCAACGCGATCTGGATAATGGGTCAAATTTCTCTTTAAAAGTGGGTATAATTGAAGAAAGTGTCGTAGTTTTCCTGTAGATAGTTTTTGTACCCCACTTCCTTAATTGCTTACCTATTCTTTTAGAGAGAACGCACGAAGGTAAAGATAAAGCACGAGAAAAAGTCTCTTTATCTCTTCTTACGTATTCATCATTCAAAAAGCTATTCTTTATTAATCCAATGTTATTTTCAATTATAGTCTCTTCTCTATACTTTTAGTCCACTCTTTTTCTCTCGAATAAGGACCAAAAACAACATAACCAAACGTGTGTCAGACCTTGCGTAATCGTTGTGATGGCTAGAACATATGTAGAAAGGAGGAGATAGCGGTTGTCAAACCTTGATGACCGAGAATAGACTCTAATTTTGCTGTCCTAATTACTTGGATCCATACATACAGCCATATACACATACATAAACAGACAGACTCGCATGCTTTGAGGTTGGCATATGACCGTAACTAACCAAATCACTTTATATTTCTTCAAAAAGGTCAGCTATAAAGTATATATACAGCTTTTTATGGATATGTCAGTGAGTTTTTTTGACTCGTTAGCCTGAATTTGGTTATAAGGATGATACCCTGATGATATTCGTCATAGGACGGAAGAAAGCTTATCACGTTTTCCCTGGAATCGAAGACGATTACCACGGAAACAGTGTTAACAAGATTATTCCAGTAGAGCTAATCGACAGCTGGTCAAGCGAATTCCTCCATCGTCTTCTGTTGAAATCGACTTTCATATCCTTTTACCAAACACTTTCACTCGAAATGGAAGTAACATCAACAATTATGAAACAATAGATTCCTCGAAATCCAGCTTCTCTTCGCATAATGATATCAAATATCATCTAGTGCTAAATTGAACTTCTTGATTTCAATAGATAAGATCTCTTTCCAAATTTGGATAGTAGATGTGAACTAAAACTGAATAATCGAAGAGGTTAAAAACAAGATGGTGTGATCTTTTATAGGGAAATTATCATGCATGTTATCGACTCCGGAATAGGTGCCCTCCACTAGGCCTTCCTACTAATATAGCCAAGTTGGAAAACGAAGTCAAACGAATTCTGAATTATTTAGTTTATATCCCCCTTCCCCTAGTTCTGAGAAATTTTCGTTCGAAATCCCTTAAGCTTTTCTAACTATTTCCTTCGTGTATGAGTAGGTTTTCGACACTACCAGTAAGTCAGAAGAGTTATTTCCACCCTATTTCGTTTAGTGTGATGAAAGACTTGTAGTTGAGTTTTCCCAAAATGATATGAGTATAGCTGATGTTTTCCTAACTTTCCCAAAAGGTTTTCTCATCCAGGCTATACTACAGTTTGCTTCATCGACAATCCTAATACAGAATGTGATTTTGAAAATGCCTGACCTCCCTTTTAATTATTGCTAGACCTTTAGACACGCTTTCCAATCCTGATATCTCATGAATTTCAGTTAATGAGCCTGAGAATATAAAAACGAATTTCTGCACGCAAATTGATTATCCGGATAGAAGAAAAATATCTTTAAGTAGGTCAGTGTTTCCAAACACATTTTTGGTCTCCATAACTTTGCTTGACTGTATTTACTTTGTTATTAATGGGTCCATAAATTTTTTCAATGGCCTGGCATGGGTAAAACAAATCTTTTACCTCCAATTATTTTATGTCAACGATGCTCGTTCAGCACTTCTCTGAGCCAAAGATTTTCCCTATCTTAGTTTTCCTAAGTTCTATTTTCTTCTTTTCTAAGCCATTAGCTGACTCTCCCTTAGGTTGCAATCTGATCCTTATCCCTTTGTAAAGATCATAATAGCTAGAGATAGAAAATGGACACCTAATAGAAAATTGATATAATCACAATGACTTTTACTTATTAAATAGTAACATTTATAGTTATTTAGTTAAAGATACATTTATTACAAATACTAGGCATAATAGAAGAAAATTAGGGCTCTATTGTATTGAAAATAAAAAGGATCGACGTAGCATTACAATTAAAGTAGGAACCAAAATACAGATGTATTTAAAAGAACTCATTTTTATTGTTAGGTCATTAGTTAAAATGTTAAGAAACGAAATTTCATATTTACTCAAGTATATTGTAAAAGTTTAGGCGCATCGAGATTGTTTTTTTCACCAAACTGGTAGGTATATTGCTGGCGCAATCTTCGGATATCTTTCGCATGAAAACACTTCTTTAATTATATCGCTATTCTTGTATTATGGGGAAGAGCCAAACTTCGTAATAAAGAATGTTAAAAGCCATATTTCCACACTTATAGACAAAATTTGGAATTCAAGCACTTGATTTGATGAAATATACTCTATTGCAGCATGTACATTACACTATTTTTTGTTGCTAGAACATCGCATATTAATTGCTTGCGCTTTTATCCAGCACTCTTTACCAATCTGTATGCATATTTAATTGCAGCTAGTTAACGCATAGTAGGAAGAAGCATGGTGTAAATGCATGAGAGCATAGTCTAACGTGGCGGCAGGATGGACAGGGAAGACAAGTCAGGCGTGTGATTACAAGATAATTCATAGAGAAGTACCACGGACTCGAATAAAATAAATATCCCCAATAGTGGGCAATCCTACACATCCTCATTTTTGCTATCTTCTTAAGGTTATATGTATGAAGCTGGTTATGAGAAGATTATGCTTTCAAGAAATACGTACTCGTGACTGACTTAAATTTTCTGTATTTCAAGTGGACACAAGGGATGACCATAAGCTCTGAAATATATAATATATATTTATAATTTTTCAGTTTATTTCAAAACTATTATTTTCCTCTTGTTCATTATTCTTTTT